ACACTGTTGTGGATTGAGGCTATTTTTGCATTTCCTGCATTGTTTCTATTTTCGCTTTGATGTATCTACATGGGAATTAGGGAGGGGGAATACCCGTGGGGTCATATGTTTAGATTCCTGCCGCCAATGAGGCGCCTTTTCAGCTCAAAGTTCTCACAAAACCTTCAGGCCAGCGGATTGACTCCTGATGGACTTTGGGCATTGGGGTGGGGCTGAAGAAATGGGACTTTTAGCTTAATGCATTTGAGTGGGGATTTTTTATCTACAATCACTTTCTTTCAGTAAAAGAGCCTCTTTGAAACAATGCCTGTTTCCTGAGCTGTGCTTTCCTGAGGGGACGGCTGGGGCTGAGCCAGTGCTAAAACATTTAGACCCAGGAAAAACTTTTGTCATTCAGGCCACCAGCCATATCACGGTAGGGGCTGTGCTGTTGCAAGAAAATGAGGAGGGGAAATTGTAACCATATGTGTACACATCATGGAAACTGACCCAAGCGGTGCAACAATCAGCAGTGGGGGAGAAAGAGGCTTATGTAGTTAAATGGGTCCTCCACGTGTGGAGGCACTTCTTAGAAGGGAGCAAAATCCCATTCCAGGTCTGGACTGATCACAAAAGCCTGGAAGCTTAAAAAAAAAAACCCGGAAACTATCTCCAAAGTATTGGGCTCAATACTTCCAGCATTTCAACTCCACCTTGCACTACTTACCAGGAGAGAAAAATTTCCTTTAAAAGAGTGGATCAGACTTCCAGTTAGGTGTCGCGGTGTGACAGATGCAGGAAGATGAGGGTCTATCTTCAATTTTGCCCTGCTGGTGAACCTAAAAAGGGTCGAAAGTCGCCCTGGAGAGGCGAAGGAGCGGACCCTCGTTGATCACGGAGGGGCGGCAGCCCTTCCACTGGATCCGAGGAAGCCCTCCAAACCAGCGGGGGGAAAGACTGGCTACATTCGTGTGGCCAGTCAGAACCTGCTGACAACCAAAGATAAGCACTAACTAGCAATTTTTGAGCAACATGGATGGAACTGGGTGAGACTTTATCCTCTTTTTATGACCTTAATACTACTTTCCTGGAAAAAAGAATGCCCAAAGGAAAGAATCCTCCCCGATGAGAGGGGAAGGGAAATTTTTGCCCCGCTCCCTCAGGAAAAGAAAAGCGGTGAATTAATTGCTTTGGGGGGAAATAGAGAAAACTACAAGATTAACTTGAAATTAATACAGATGTATAGATTTGAAATTTGGGGACTAAAAGTACCTTTAAGACTTTTTTTTTTAGAAAAGATATTTGAAAGTCTGTAAAATAGGCTTGGATTTGGAAAGCTGGAAGACGGTGTCAATGACATCTAGTGGCGAATCATGGCACTACAATTTATTATGCTTAAAGGAAACTTAGCTTGAAGCTAGGACTTAGATAAGACTCTTTGTTATTCCTGGAAACTTTCATTTTTGCAGACTGCAGCTGGGAAAAGGGAAAAAAACTCTTGGGTTGCTTATCTGTGTTGGGGACCCTATTGGACCATAAAGACTACATACAAAAAACAAAATGACTTAGAAAGTTATTTGGCAAAGGAAGAAAGCTAGAGTAGGACTGAAGAAAATAGAAGTTTTGATCTATTAGATGGGATATTATACTATTAAACAGATGTTTGAATATGGTTAAGAAAATAGATAACTGTTAGAAATAAAAGTATTATTATAATTAGAAGGATAGGATTTGTAACTAGAATATTATACTTTGTTATGAGATGGGAAGTATGAAAACTCTAAAGGGTTTGAATAAGAGAAGCATTTGGTTACCCTAATATAATTTACTATGAGAAAATTATAAGCAAGAGATATTTTGAACATTGATGGGAAATTAAAAATTTTAAAAAGCGGGAAAAACAGGATATTGATTGAACAAATGGATTTTAATTGCAAATGCAATTGAGATATATTTTAGCTAAAAAAGATATTATAAACTGACACTATCGATATTATGTATAATACCATAAAAATGTGATGAAGATGTCTATATTTAATTGTATATGTATTAACAGTAACAAGAATTGTATTTGCCCAGTGTGGAAAAATGCATACCACTGGAAGAAGAGAGGATAGGAAGCACTGGATTGTATAGTATTGGAACTAGACTGAGAAAATTAATATGTACCACTGAATTACCAATGGACCCAGACAACACATTATTAAGTACTCATGATTGTAAAATTAGAAAATTAATTATATGTATGTATGTATGTATGTATGTATGTATGTATGTATGTCTTTAGTTATTCGGGTTTTCTCCCGCGTACTCCCAGAAGCACGAAGCTGAAGACACCAGCCTGAAGATGATGAATGTGACTTCGTCGAAACGTCGCCAAGACACTTCTAATTCTACGCGGGAGAAAACCCGAATAACTAAAGACATACATACAAACACCCACGAAAGTCTCAGAAAACATATATATATATATATATATATATATATATATATATATATATAAAAAGAGTGGATTGATCAATCAATTGAAAGATACGTGGCCCATTGTGCATAAAGCCCTAAACCGTTCCATATTGGGGACTTTGTATATCTGTCCACCTGGTTCCTACAGTCCTTGCACCCATCAAAAAAGTTGGGACCAAAATATATAGGGCCCTTACCGATAAAAAGAATCATTAACCCAGTCACAGTGGAATTAGAATTACCAAAACCATTGAGAAAAGTTCACCCAATATTCCATTGCAGCCTTCTTAAACCAGAGGTGGTCTCGCCCTTAAGGCCGGCACCCCCTTCAATCCCTGAACCTATTACAGTGGAGGAGAACAACATTTCAAAATTAAGGAAATCCTAGACTCACATACACATCAGGGAGTCACCCAATACCTAGTAACATGGAAAAATCTCCCTCAGGCTCAGCCTGAGTGGGTGCAAAAGAATCATGTCAAAGCTACAACGTTTTCATGACCGCTACTTTGATAAACCTAACTGAATACATAACCACTTTTTCTTATCCCCTTTGTGTTATTATCTTCTCCAGGTGGATCTTCTCTTCTTTTAGGGGAGCAGCATGTTAGGTGTCTTCAGAACGCTGCCATCAGGAAGGGGAGGGGGAGTACACACTATTGTAGATTGAGGATGTTTCTGCATTTCCTGCATTGTTTCTACTTTTGTTTGATTTATCTACATGGGAATTAAAATACCCATAGGGCCATCTGTTTAGACTCCTGTTGCCTAGCTAGAATAAGGCACCTGGGAAAATGGCCGGTTGTCATCTTTTTGGCTCAAAGTTCTCACAATACCTTTAGGCCAGCAGATTGGCCCCTGATGGACTTCGGGCCTTGGGGTGGGGCTGAAGAAATGGAACTTTTAGCTTAACGCTTTTGAGTAGGAACTTCAGATTCTGACTTTTTCTCTGCAATCACTTTCTCTCAGTAAAAAATCCTCTTTGAAACAATGCCTGTTTCCTGAGCTATGCTTTCCTGAGGGGACAGTTGAGGCAGGTCCATACAGCCTGGAGAAAGGAGTGATCCAAGGTACCTTCTTTTGGCTTGACCATTAGTGATCCCTCTACCAAGCCACCTGGTTTTGATGTGCCTTACTTTGTCTGGATGAAATTGAACAGAATTAGGTGTGATACTAGAAGAAGTGCCTCTGAAGGAGAATATTTGTAGCTCAGGGTTGAAATGAGGGGTCCTTGGTGCTCTCTGAGCTTGCTTGTTTTCTTGCAGACTAGCACTGATGTTACCTAGTTAAGGTAATGAAATGTCTGCAAGAGCACCAAGGGCCCCTCAGAAGTGCCTCTGCCCTCTATCAGTGGGGATGATAAGATTCCCCTTGTTGCAATTGTTGTATTAATATGCAAACTATTATACATATTAAGATTGCCCACAACATGCATTCCCTGGTTCTAGTCTAAAAGACCTGAATGAAGCAACGACAGAGGCAATTGCCTGGATAGCTGAATTGGACATCCAGTTATGAGGCCACTGCCATATCTCCATAGACCTTTTGTGTATAATTATGTAGAATGTGTGTATATGTTTACTTCCCTTCTGTCAGGTTCTTATCATACACTAAATATTAATAATAAATTCTTAGGAAAAACTAGTTTTAAGTCAAGAGTGCTATAATCATAGAGGTACTTGTCACCAGCTATGAAAATGACAATGTGCACCCTGATACCATAGCTGAAGCCTGCTCCTTATATATTTGTATCAAATGCCATAATGAAAAGGGCAGTTTCTGTTTTGATGCACATGTTGCCACTTACCCTCCTCTTCTGTCGAAGCCTAGATCAACCCACCCCAGATTCTATTGATGAGTTTAGTAAAACTAGGTAGAAGCCACGTAAAACATGCTTACTTTGTTTCAGTTAAGATAGTATTAGTTAGAGCTCTGCCTTAGTTCTCTAATTCTAGGATTTCCAAATGGAGACGGGGCTATCTAACTTGGATTACATGAGGGCTAGTTTAACAACCAATTAGGGGAAAAAGCAATAGTTTGATTGTCGTAGTGTACAAATGGGAGGAAAACACAGGAAAAAGAACAGAAGCAAGAGGTTGGAGGTGGTGGTAAGGATGTAGATAAGCATTAAGTCATAGAAGTTCCTTTGTAGCCCAATTCTTACTGTTACTGACAGTTTACAGCAGCCTAAAATTATTGGCACAGTCATGGTGGTAACCCCTTATAGTATATTGTCCTAAGCATGAAAGGTGAGGATGCTAAGCACGGTTAGGACGCTGAGTTGACGATCAGTAAACCCACGTTTGAGACCCAAGGGCTGCTGTGTGATGTGGTGAGCTTCCGTCATTCACTTCAGCTCCTGTCAACCTAGAAATTATAAAGTGTGCAATAGCAAAGTAGATAGATACCACTTCAGTGGGCACATTAACAGGGATATGAAAGGAGTCCCCAATTGGGCGTCCCTCTGGGCAGCGGTGATATCATTGGCTAATCCTTCCGACCCTGAAGTGCCATGGTGCTTCCGACATGAACACGAGCATGAAAAGGAATCAACTTACCAACAGGATCACATTTCCATCTCCCCCGACCTTGGCCAAAGCATGTACAGTTCAGCATGTGTCCTTCTTCGTGACGTTTATGAAAAGTCTGATTAACATCATATGTGATCCCATCAACTATACACTGATCTATTTCAAAAAAGAACATATTTGTATCATTGGTTAATTTGAACAAATAATGGCTATAATTTTGCACAGCTGCATATTGTTCTCCACTCAGTTTACCAATATCTCTCATGAATGAAATAGTTTGTGTTTTTCCATATTCAAACAGCTTCCAGCAAAAAAAGCAAGAATGTCATATAAAGTATTTAAAAAGTCAATTATGATGTGCCTTTGCTACAAACTTTTATATTCTTTATAATCTTTTAATAGATCTTGAGTCACTAATATGTTATTTCTTCCTCAAATTTGTAATGACTAGTCACTCCAACCCATACCACGTGCAATTCTTAATAAGTAAGCTGGCTACAAATACCTATAACATAAAGTAATTCAATTCACTCATTAGGTTAAATATGCCTTGTTTAATAATGATTTAGTGAATAAACCACAATTATATGGTGTTAACCGACAAACCTAGTTTACAGAATCATAGTTTACAAATAACAATGATTCTATTCACATATCTTGTTATGTCCTTTAATTGGTTTTGGCTCTGTTTGTGCATAATTTCAATGACATATGAACCTAATCTGAGATTCACACTCAATAAATAAGATTTGTGAATGAGATGTTGTTACAAAGGCTTTCCTTATAATTCTCTGAGGTTTCAAGGAGCTTATGTTTTCACATATACATAACTATAGTATATTCCTCATATATTTTTTCTTGCTGTAGGTCCTAGAAAACAAAGTTCTGTAAATGATTACTCATTGTTGGCTATATATGAAACAAGTTTAACAGTTAAATGAAATTGATCCTATACCATAGTCCTCATTCCCAAATGTACTCTAATTCAGGAGAGGTAATCTGTGCCCCTTCAGAGACAGCTCTTAGCTTTCCTCACTATTGCCCATGCTACTTGAGCTGTGAGTAACCACTGCATTTAGAGAACCAAGGATTTCCCAATTCCAGTATATTACCTATTGTGCTAACTCTTAACTGGCTACATCACATAATGAATAATGACAAACCAAACTAAAAATACCTCTGAGCTGGGAATATGCAATGCAGGTCCATTCTCCACGTCCATTTCCCACACAAGTGCATCTCATCATATGGCCCATATCATGCTGTTTGTCCCATTGGTCTCCAACACGATACATAACACCCTCATTTGTCGTACAAATTTCTTCATGAGCTAGTTAACATGTAAAAATGAATTAGGCTTATTTTGATTATTACAAGCTTCTTGTTCATGAAAATAACAACACTAACCCTTAGAAATTTTCTTTCTTCCATATTGATCTTATATCAGTGCCTATAGTATCCATTTTCTTCTGAGCACTTCAAATATGAATCTCCATTTAAATCCTGTATTCTGAATGTGTGTTAAATAGATTTTCACATATTTTATTCTCATAATAAAATTGTAAAAGTTTTACTGAGGCTAATCTTTATATGCAACAACTGTATATACGAAGTGAATGAATATTTATATCAAATAATATTTTCATAATTCCCAAGAATTAAGGAATAACATTGGGTCCTAACATACATATGTGCAATATACCTGCCATGGGACAAAATCCAAACTTCTGATCAACATCATAGTTTGAGGTAGTTCCACACCACTTCATGTTATCTCTTCGTCCTTCAGAAGTACAATCAGTGTAATTCCGATTATTATAAAGGAAAGGAAAGTGACACAGGGCACCATTGGAATTTCCACCACGTGTCTGAATCAACACTGCAAGAAAAAAAAATTGTTATTCAAATAAATACTAAAGCTTAGCTACATGCTAATTACTTTACTATCTGCTGTCCAGCATACCATACTCGTGAAAATTATTTCTGAAAACTTTTTGCAATCATTTTTCTTCCATTAGGAAATCATTTTTCTTTTCTTTTTCTTTTGACAAATGGGAAATCATCATTTAAAGAAAATACAATAAATGTTATGAATTAAGAAATTGAGAAATGGGAAAAAGAAACAACAAAGAATGATGATCTTTGCCATTTTTATGTGAACCACTGAGAACATAAAATGTGGAAAAGAGGTTTTTTTTAACTGATCAACCATTTAATAAAAATTGTATTTTTCCAGGTTTTTGACTATAAATGTAAGTTTATAGTCTTTTTTTTTTTAAATTTTTTATCAAGTTTATAGTCTTTATAAAGAAGTTCGAAAGCACTTAAGAGACATATCAAAGTCAGCTTAGTTTGCAACTTCCACCCGCTCAAGAGCTGCACCAACCTTTGCATGTCAAGGACTGCATTCCTAAGTGGCCACAAACAGGCCCCATTTGGTTAGGGGGCCTTCAGGAAAGTTAAGGGATGAGATGGGTGTCTTAAGTATTTACAAGGCTTTAAACATCCATTTTATTTCTGCTGATTACTTCTCGCCTTGGAATAAAAGGGCTGAATGCTTTGCTCTATCCACTGTGGGAGACTTAGCCTCTCGCACCTCTGTCTTGGTTCCAAAATGCATGAAAGCATCTGCAAGTCAATAGCTTGTCTATACAGCAGCTCTCTGCCCAAAAATCAAACTAGTTTTGTTCTACCAAGTCTGAATCAATCTCATGAAAAACTGCAGAACTGAAGAAATCTACTATCAAGAAAGTATGGACAGCAAAAGGGAGCTTCAGAATGATGGTGTCATAGTGACAATGCTGGCCTAGAACCCAAGAGACAGTCAGTTGTTAGGCAGGTAAGCCAGCTGGGTGACTTTGGGTCAGTCCTCCTCTCTAAGCCCAACCTATCTCACAGAATGGTTGTAGTAGGAGACCAAATTATACACAGGAAGCAGAATTATTACATATGTTCACCACATATCTAAAATCATATTTGAGGCAGAATAAAATATATAAATAAAATATATAAAAGGCAGAATAAACATCTAATAACAATAATAATAAAGAACAATCATCTCCAATAAGCTCAAAAATCACAAGCACTCTGAAAATATGATAAAAAAATAGAAACCTCTGGCACAGAAAAAAAAATCTGAGAAATTGTGAGGCAGAATTTAACTGTATTTTCAGGTTGTACATCCAGTTCTCTGCAAGAACTGCCACATATATGGCAGTAAGCAGAATTATATTGTTCCCACCCTCTAAGATCAAACATTAAAATAAGGAATATAGCTAAAGCTTTTGGTATGTTTCTTTTATATAATGAGTATTCATAAAAGTCTTTTAAAAATATTTGACAATTTCTTTTTTAATAAAATAATATTGAATTATTAAACTGCACAAACGAGTCCCAGTTTTAAGGCATGTATTCCTCCAGATCTTACAGGGTAAAAAACTACATTAGCCCCTTGCTAGTTCTTAGTTCTGCCATATATGGCAACCTGGCTGAGAATTCCAGCTTGACTTGGGAGTGACATCAGAGCATTGCAGCCATTGCAGATTCAAAAGACCTCTTTCTTTCTAGCCTAATATAGACATTGGGCTTCTATCTTCAAAAAAAAAAAGAGAGAGGAAGAAATGCCAGCCAAACACAGGCAGAAAACCAAAGATGCAGACTACTAGCTTTATTTCTATTTAATTCATTTCCTCCTCACAAATGTGAGGACACCCAAGTGAGCAAAATGGCACAAACTATTTTTATCTTTGACCATTTCTGCATACTGTATAAATTTCATTGGATTAGTTAATGAGATGATGACAAAACAAGAATTGTTGGCGAACATCTAACACTGATTAGCTTCAGTTATTCCTTAGTTAAAAAAATAATTGCAAAACTGACTCCAAACCATTGTTGCCCAGTTTCATTTCAGCATGGAACAAAAAATAAAGTTTATTTCAGACTTTTGGAAAGTCTCAAAGTAAGGAGCAATCACTTAGAATAGGAGCAGAAAACTACTTTTATACTGAGAGTCAAACTGAGTATTTATGGTATGTTAAAAGCCATACAGTAAAAATGGACATGCTCAAAATAGAGATGGGTAGGAGCAGAAGAGAGAAACAGTGGGATAATGACATTTTACAAAGTAAGGAATAACAAATAAATATTCTGTCTCTGGCAATAGTCAAGTAGATCCTTTTCAAGACATCTAGAGAAAGCTTGCAATCTGGTATACAATATTACTGCTTTTCATTTTACCTGATAAGACATCTGTAGAGATGTACTATCCATTGCTATCTAGTTAAGCTGTGGTGGCGTCATGATATAAACCTACCTTTCTAATGCTAAACACATTTCATGTATTGCACTGAATAGCCTTTCTGATAGATCTATGTTTGACTTCTGTATTCCCTTACTCTTTCCTAGTTTTCAAGACTTTCCTTGTATGCTTTATCCAGTGCAGATCCACGTCTCCTATTCCCAGCCCAGATATTTTAAAAAGACATGTGAAAGAATGCTAAATTATAATTAATATATTCTATACTTCCATGACCACACTTTCCCAATGCATGCTAAAATCTGCATCTTATTTCTCCCCAAGAGATTTTTTCCTCAAAAAGGTTTACCATTTTGCTCTGTACAAAAGGAGTAGCTCTTATCCTGGTCAAAGTTGGAGGTTGTACTGCACCAGAGATTCCCATCATGACGTCCTTCGGAAGTACATGAATAAAAAGTCCTTCCATTATATGTGAATGGGAAAACGCAAGGCTCTCCATTGGAATTGCCACCATAAGTCTGGGTCACAGCTTTAAAACATAGAATACCATTATAATTACACAAGAATTTGATGTTATTTGGTTTCAGAAAAATATTTTAAAACATTATAGTGAAACTTCAGTTTTTCAAACCAGTGGGATCATGGTTCCTGTCTTTTAAAATTTGGAGCATGTCGTTTCAGTAACTGACATTGATTGAATGATGTCATCACACAAATGTTGCAAATTATATTACTTGCATCAATTTATATCATTATATAATTTCATTACGTAAATAATCAAATCCAGTGGAAATTGCTATCAAAGTCTGTTGCAGTCCCAAAAAAATTCAAGATTTCACTCTGTGTGTGTGTATGTGTGTGGGTGTAGGTACAGAAGGGGTCCGTATATAAGAAAAAGTCACAATTCTGGCTGGTTTTGGAGAGAAAAAGATAACAGTATCCCAAAACCAACTGCACTAAATTAACTTCACATCAAATCCATTGACCTGGAGATCATGCTCTTATAGACTTAATTGTATGAAGGCCAGACTGATCACATGACCTTGTATAAATGATGATAATAATTTGTTTTTCACAATATAGTAGTGACCTTCAGCGCAGCCTATGCCAATCAGTTAGGAACATGCATTATCATAGGGTAAATGACTGAAACATCTTTTATATGCCAATAAATATTTAAAAATATTTCCTACCTGTTTCCTGGCAGCTGATTCCATTGCCCAGACAAGTACAAAGCATATGCTGGCTTCCCTGTGCCTTAAGCCACTGCATTCCCAGGATATACACCATACCACTGTCAGTTACACAATGCCCAAAAGGAGCAGGCTGGGGCTGTGGTTGGTAAAGTGCAGTTCGTACATCTGTGATAGTTGCAGATGCACTTCCTGCATATAAAAAAAAGCAATGATGTTTTGTAACTGTCAGTAAGAACTACTGTATATTATCACTTGATTAAGATCGTGTCATGTGTCTGATTAACGAAACACTTAAAAGGACTTTCAGGCATATTTTTTTCCTAAAAGCATTTATTAAGGTTACAGAGATGTCAGTACGGCATGGTGGAAATGCTTAGATCTGAGATTATTTTCCGTTGCACATACATTCCAGGCATTTTTCCCTCCCCTATTTTGGGGTCATGGTTCACATCTTCCAATGAACTTGGAAGATGTGATTTACTTCTGGTTTCTTTTTCCCGGGCTTTCCTTATTCTCCTCTCCTTTCACTGTTGCCTGATTTAACTATAAAAATACCAGACAGTTCTGCATATTGTCAAAGCAAGAATATACAGTATTTGCAGCATTGACAGATCGGTTATGATTACTTTTATCCTGTTTTTAATCACTGTTAGCCACCCAGTCATGAATATGAAATGAGCAGCTACATAATACTAAGGATGAATGGACAGACAGAATCTTGATAGTCTCCTATGAGTCAGTTATCTGTTGTAGTTAATGTGGAACTTTGAATCTTCCAACATTAATAAAAATACTGTTTTTACCATTTTGACTAGAACCAAAATAATCATCCAAATTGACCATCTCAACATCCTAGCAAAGCTGAATTTCTACTGGGAATGCAAAAATACTTTTGATTAGTTTTATGTTTATCAGAAGATAACAAAACATTTATGCTCATGTTAATAAGGGCCAGTTAGCTTATCAATTCCAACCCACTGGACAGTGAAAGAGTCCAATTTTACATATCCCCTGGAAGATCCAGCCTCTGCTTATACACAGGCAGCAAAGGGAGGAAGGTGTTCCGGGTCACCATCAATAACTGGTTCCATTGTCAAATTATTTTTCAGAATGTTCCACTGGAATCTGCCTTCCTGTAACTTAAAGTGATATTAAGAAAAAGCCTTTTTCTCTATAGCTGATTTCTGGGAAGGGAAAATTTTAAAAAATCAGAGGGCAACCTTTGGATTTAAAATTTAGATTAATGAACATTCTTTTTCACTGAAAAGTCCATTAAACTGTTCTACTAGATCAGTGATGGCGAACCTTTTAGAGACTGAGTGCCCAAAAACTGGCCCCACCCCCTGCCCCGCCCCCACCGTCCCCCACCCTGCCTGCCCGCAGGGCCACTCACCCCCTCCAGGGCCCGCCGCAGATCGCCCAGGCAGCCCAGCAGCCCATGGTGGCCATGCCCCCTGCCCACGGCCTGCAGCATCAACTGTGCGGGATGGGGCGTGAGGGCAGTCTTGTCTACGCTGCCTGGCTGCCATGTCCTTGGCTGCGCTGCTCCGTGTGGGCCACGCTCGGGGGCGACTCTTCTCCAGGGGGGCTGCTGGTGAGGAGTGAGTTATGGGGGGAGGCGAGGCTGGGGCAAGGGCACGTGTGCCCACAGAGAGGGCACACGCCACCTCTGGTATGCGTGCCATAGGTTTGCCACTACTGTGCTAGATTATATTAATGGTCATGGTTTCTCACTTATCTATTTTACAGTTCCTTAAAACAGATTCCACACTGCTGCCAAAATGCCTCCTCTATTATTGATACTACAATTAGTACATCCCATTTTGTGGGTACCTGAATCTGTACTTTCAGTCTTTGGTTACGCTCTCATCATTCTAAAGGACTAAATCAAGTCAAGCCTGACAAATAGAAAGAGGCTTTGTGATGCTAGCGACTTTAGATGAGGGGATTTTTTTTAGCAGACTTCATTGGTTGGCAAGAATTTTTTTAATTACATTGATTTTATAGTTATTTTATAGATTACACTGAGTTTTATTATCTTCGAATTCTTACACAGTTTGAATACTTTGAATTTGAATGTATGATTTCCCAAGGTAGTTTTTATAAAGGCAAATAAAGAAGGAATAAATATCCAACTTCATCCAGGTATATCGCTTACCTACACCTGTGGCTTGCAAAGAGGAATGCCTTTCACATTTCCATTCCCCTCTGCCATTCCCTGTGCAGATGCACTGAAGTAGATTTCCTCTGTTATCCTTCTTGCTCCAGGTGTCTCCAATTCGATAAGAGGTCTTGGTGTCCTGATCATTGCATCTGTCTATAGAAAAGAAGAGACCACACACCAGAGGATCAAGCCTGTGCTATTTCAACAGTCTGCACCCATTCATGATGGTTACCCACTTGGACTGATACTGGATTTTTTAATGTAGTCAATATTTTCATCCAGTCTCATCCAAAACTACCATTGGCATATTTTAACTGCTCCAATTAAAAATGGATTTTTTTTTAGTACACTTGAATGAGAAACATGTTGCACATAAGGAAAGATAGATCAGAATTTTTATTAAAACTCTTAAAACTCTCAAACACCTCCCCAATACTAAAATGTCCACAAATTTTGATTCTAGTCATTCCAGAGAAACTCTGAAGGCACAAAAAGGGTGCTGGGGTTTTATGTATAAATAATGATTTACAAGACACAATAATTGAGATTAGGCAGCATGTTAGGCCAAATCAAACAAATCACATGATGTTTTTGTGCAGTGTTTAATCCCAGATATTACTGACTGTTCTGTGCCTTCCCCTAAGGCCCAAATTCCAATTTTAGGTCCTTCCAGATCTGCTCAAAGGACAAGTGGCAGCCATGTCTAAGAGTTCATCTTGTGCATCAAGTGCATCTACGTGTGGATCAGGAGGTCATATTCACAATCATTCACACCCTGGTCACTCCCTGGCTGGATTACTGTGCAGTATACAAAGCTGGCTTTCAAAAGCATTCAAAAACTGCAAATGGCATTGATAGCTATGGCTCTCGATACTGATCTCTTCCAGAAAATTTCTCAATGCAATTCAACATGCTAATTATCCTCTATAAAGTCCTATATGGCCCAGGTTACATGTATTCTGCTCACGCCATTAGAATACTCTTAAGAAATCTTATCTCATGGGACCTAGGAGTTGCACCTTTCTGCCACACTGCCTGCCCAATGGACCAGCAGCTTCCTGGAGCCCTGGATTAAGCATTAAGGAACTGGCTATTTCCTCAGGCATTCAAGACTGTTGGTTGGTTTTTAAGTTCTTGTTTGACCTATTGGAAATGCAGTTTTTTTTAAAAAAAATCATGGATATATTTCATTTTATAGTTTTGAGGTGCTTATTTTTACAAATCATATTGCTGTTCTTGTTCTTAAACCTCTGTTCATCACCTACAATCACTGCTATGAGATAGCTGGCTATAAAAATTCTATAAATAAACAAAAAAAAAAACATCTATGGAGGTTCTTAGTCGTCCAGGTCATGGTTGTCCCAAAAGTGCTTTTTCAAGAGGCAACTGGACTTTCCTGTTTTTGTTTGAAGACATTTCGCTTCTCATCTAAAAACTTCTTCAGCTCTGACTGGATGGTGGAGAATGGAAGGCTTTATATTCCTTGCAGACAGCTGGTCATTTACATTCTTTTAGAGTCATTGAGGCTTATGTGTCCTCAAGGTCACCTGAGTGGTGCAAATGGGTGTAGAGGCTTCTTGGAACTGCTGGAAGGACTGTGTTGTAGACAGGAGATAGATGATGTCGCATTCCTCCCCTTCTATTGAGAGAGGGCTGTTCAATTTTGACATAGATGGCCTCTTTGACCCCTCTTTCAAGCCAGCTGTCCTCTCTGTCCAAAATGTAGACTTTGTCTTTTAAATGTAGATGGACTGCTGAATCTTGTCCTGATGGGTTTGTTCTTCTATGTTGTGCCATGCGTTTATGAAGTGGTTGTTTTGTCTCCCCAATGTACAGATCTGCACATGTCTCACTGCATTTTACTGCATGTATCACGCCGCTTAGTTTGAGTCTGGGTGTTTTATCCTTGGGGTGGACAAACTTCTGCCTTTAGTGTATTCTTGGGTTTAAAGTGTGCATGTATGTTGTGTTGGCTGAAGATCCTCCTGAGCTTTTCAGATATTCCTGCAAATAGGCAGCAGTCAGGCAGAGGTCCAGCATGGCACATATGTGGTCTGGGGTGAGGTTAGTTCTGCCACCTAAGGTGCTGTCTTGTAGCAGTCGTTTCATCCATGGTCTCATCCAGGTCCAGTTTTAGTTTCCAAACCTTGCTGGTGAAATCCTGTGAAAATAAAACTGGACCTGGATGAGACCATGGTTTCCTATGATGTGACTTCCCTCTTCACCTGCATTCCAACAATTGAAGCTGTCATGGTAGTGAAGAAACAATTGCTACAAGACAGCACCTTAGGTGGCAGAACCAACTCAGCCCAGACCACATATGTGCCATGCTAGACTACTTATTTCAAATACATTGAAGGTTTCTACAGACAAAACATAGCTACGCCATGGGTTCACCTGTGTCTCCCATTGTGGCCAATCACTACATGGAAGAGGTGGAGACCAAAGCCCTAAACTGCTTCACAGGAATTCCACCCACTCACTGGTATAGTATGAGGATGATACTTGGGTCAAGATCAAAACACAGGAATTGGAAGCATTCATCAAACATATCAACTCTGTGGACAGATACATCAAATTCACAAGGGAAAATATTAAGGAAAATAGACTAGCCTTCCTGAACTATGCAATACATATTAAGGAAGACACTGGGGTTTACAGAAAGCTCACAAACATATCAATATTTACATTTTGATTCTCACCACCCACTGGAGCACAAAATGGGAGTTATCAGAACCCTAAACCACTGAACTGAAGGCCTGCCTACCAGCAAAGATGGGAAAGAAAAAGAACTAAAATACGTCAAGGAAGCCCTCAGAAAGTGTGGCTATCCCAATTGGGCCTTCATCAAATCTCCAAAAAGACCCAGCAGGAGATCCCCCATAACAGAAGAGAACAATAAATGAAGCAATGTTGTCATTCCATATGTTGCAGGAATATCTGAAGAGCTCAGGATCTTCAGCCAACACAACATATATGTACACTTGACAAAGTGTGCATGTATGACAAAGACAAAGACCACTCTTTTGAAGATAGCAAAGTTCACATTTTGGACAGAGAGGACTGAAAGAGGGGTCAAAGAGGCCATCTATGTCAAAACTGAACAGTGCTCTCTCAATACAAGGGGAGGGATATGAATCATCTATCTCCAGTCTACAACACAGTCCTTTCAGCAGTTCCAAGAAGGCTCCACACCCATTTGCACCACTCAGGTGACCTTGAGGACACATATAAACTTCCAAGTGGCCTCAATGACTCTCTAAAAGAATGCAAATGACCAGCTGTCTGCAAGGAATATAAATTCTTCCATTCCTCACCATCCAGTCAGAACTGAAGAAGCTTGTTGAATGAGAAGCAAAACGTCTTGAAAGAAAAACAACAAAGTCCAGAGTTGCCTCTTTAAAAAGCACTTCGGGGACAAATAAAATCAACTTTGAATTGAAAGACAGAAATATGAAGTCAATAATTTATCTCCCCTTGGAATAAATTTCTCCCCTTTGCCCAGAAATTCTACTCCATTTGTTATGACACAATTCTGGAGGAAAATTGCTACGTCATCCCAGTCACTCAGCTGCTGGGTTTCAAAAAAATGAACATGAGGAAAATGTTTAAGAAAGACATGAAGTCAAATTGATGGGAGTATGTGAGTTTGCCAGGAAGTTGGTCTGTGGCTTCAGCTGTATGAATGGACAAACTTTTTAAAATATTCAAAGCTGGGAACCAGCTGAATGATTAAGAGTTGACCATACTTACAAGGGCATCTCTGCCATTTCAGTAATTATATACTTTAATAAAACAAAATAAAAATAAAAACAATGTAGTGGTAAATTTTCTAATGCAAATCTAAACACTCTGAACTAAACAGTATTAAGCTCAAAGTTCTTAGTCCCAACTAGATATATTTAGAAACTGAGTGTTAATCAGGGGTAGAAAGAAATATTACAAATTTTGGGAAAATGGGAAAAAATGAATAGAAGATATCTGATAAAGGAATCTAAAAACTGAGGAAAGTTTCAGACTCTATTCCAAATCTACATGATCCTAAACAACGCTATGCTATGTTTAAGAAAATGTGGTACTTTGAATTATAAAATTCAAAGAGAAAGTGCTGCACACAGAAATGCAACCTGCCCAAATGCACATCATTAAGAAATGATGGCTTACCCTATACAATGATTTTCCTATTACAGGTAATGAATTATGTAATATGTGTCCTGAGATAACTCTATAAAATGTTTGCATTTTGAATAAATAGTAATGTTGTACAAAGCCAAGTGTTTTAGTTTCAAACAGTGTAAATAATAAATATTTAGAACAGAAATCAGAATTCTATTGAATCCAGCAACAGATTTCTGGGCCATATACTGTATTAAAACACTAGGCCATATACTGTATTAAAACATACTGTCAATGTTATTCATTTGATCATGCTTTTCCTGGCAGTTGAGAACATTCCATCCTTGTAATTTTCTCATTTGACACCCGGACACATATTTTCCTCCACAAGTTTCCAGTCAGAGAAAAACACTAAATAAAAGTGTTGCTTGTATAGTTTTAAAATTTAATTTCAAACTGAGGATTTACTTTATATAATTGACTGTTATACTAAGAAAAGTTATTATCCTCAATTAAAAGCTAAACAATATCATCTCAAAATCCACCATAAAAAAGTTCTAAAAGATTAGGTATGTCCTAAAACAGCTTAAAACATGGCTTATACTTAACCAATGACTGTACTTTTAAATACTTGCTATGCATGTCAGTGATTATCTTGCATACAATTGGATCCAAGCTGTAGTAATTTTTCATCACAAGCATCCTCATAGAAGAAAGAACACTTCAAAGATTCATTTTAGGTTCTTTCATCTTTAATATGCCAATCTTATTTATAATGGATTAGAATTTAAGGAAATTCACCAAAGGACAATTTCCAGATTTTTCCATTGCCATGCAGTCATCTGCCACTCAAAAAAACTGGGAGACTCACCTGAATAATGTAGATAGGAGAAGAGCTCCTGAGATAGAGTAACTAAGTAAGTTTATTTGTTAATTAATGGTAACTTAACTACGGAATTAAATTTTCATACTGTCTTCCTAAGTACTTCCACATTGTTTAGTGGAACCTTCTAAATGCCTTCAAAGATAGTCTGAAGAAATAATCAAAATTTTCATAAATGTATCTTGGGATCTAAGCCAGCTTCTTCAGGATAACACCAAGACTTATTGTACTTTCTACCAATACCCAGTAGGTACAATAAATGTTAGCCTGGAATTGAAGAGGATTGAGCCCCCTAAATTCAAAGACATATCTCTATGTTTTCCAAAATAAAAAGCTTGCTTTAGCTTTCCTGATAATTTTCATATTTCCATGACTGCTAGACAATCTAAGACACTATTCCTAGCACGAAGTTCAGAATAGATAAAACAACATATTCTATGATCTTATATGTATACGTAAGTGAAAGAAAGAAATATCAATAAGAAACAGTAAGGCTAAGACAGATCAAAAGAGCAGAATAAAACATCTTCCGGTTCCGGATCGCGCCGTGTGCAGTCATGCGAAGAGCTCCGTCTCTTCGCCGGCTGCATTCCCTCCGCCGGTAGACCCCTAATCGGGTCGAAAAGTTGCCCTGGAGGGGCGACCACCGTCGAGGAGGCCCTCGTTGACCACGGAAGGGCAGCAGCTCCTTCCGCGGTCTGAGCTAGCTACTTAGGGCCGTCGGAGAAAAGATCGGCCAGTAAAATGGCCGATCACCCAGCTGCACCAGCCGAAAGTCAGAAGAACAGCTAAGCGTGAAGAACCACCGTGGAGAAATCCAGGTGAGACCTTTCCTTCCCTCTCTTAGCCCCAACTATTTTCCTGTAAAAAGCCTCTGAATGACTTCCCTGCCTTAAGAGAGCGGTGTTTGTTTACTTGGGGAAAAAAAGCTTTGAACAAAACTATAAAACAGTAAATTTTTATTGGATATTTAATTTTTTGGATATTTTGAGGCTCTGAAAAAATCCTTATCATAGAACATTATTATTATTTTATCTCCTATGCTAGAGATATTTGCTTTTTTCCCCTCTATTTTCCTAATGATTAACTCAGAAAAAAAGATTTTACAGCCTATTGAGGACATCTTGTGGTGAAAAGTGTTACTGCAATTGTATTTTCTCTTGGTGTTTGAAGATGGATTTGACCTTCAAATGATAATAAAAGGGGAAAGATAAAGGCCTTGAAGCAGCTGTGGGCTGAATTTGCTTACTAGAAATTGTGGAGGTGGATATTTGTTGACTTCTAATAAATATAGCTTCTACTAAAAGACTAAAAGACTATTTTATCATGGAAATGGAAGAATCTTACCCACAGCTTGATTATGAGCTTATATTGGAAAAAATTCTGGAAGCTACAGAGTACATGAAATCTTGGAGAAAAATTAAAGATCATTTTGCAAAACCACAAACTGAATTTCAAATTTTAATGGACCAAAGAGGAACAGACTAGCTTTAAAGAGGACTATATGCAACAGTGCACACAATTTAAAGAGATGGAGGAAGAAGCTACTGATCAATTGAGCTTTAGAAAAACGCTTGACTTAAAATCTCAAACTGAGACTCTAACTGATCATTCCACAAGTCAACTAATTACTACAGAAGAGGATATTTCACAAACCTATGTACAAATTATGGAGAACTCTTGATGATCAAAGAATGACTTCAACTGAAATACTTGCAGTCTTAAAAGCAACAGGAACTGACTTTCAGATGCGATCTATTGAAAGCTGTGATAACCTGGATAATCAACTAGTAACTACAACATGGAAAAAATTGACTATACTATCCAGATGATACTGGAAGAAAGGGAAGAGAACTTAGACCAGATTGATGTGTCGATAAATACCCATACTCAAATACTGAGATTTGATGATACAGATGCGGTATTATGGAAACCGGCCTGGCACAGAAAGAAAGCTAGAGTTAGATTTAAAAATGTGATTTAAAATTTTATTTAATGGGTTAAAAAGGCTTTAGAGATCTGGACTGATTTAACAATTAACTGAGCATGTGAAGTTAGCAAGATGATATTTTGTGTAACAATATGCTTGTTTTAGATATGATAATTATTTGGACGAGATTTAAATCTTACCTAATGGGCTGAAATGATTTCTTTTTTATAGAAATAGATTGACTGATAGATTATATATCTAAAATAGAGTAGAGTAATATTTTTATTTTAAGTAGGATAACTATTTTCTAGTGGAAGAAGAAATAAGAGAGACTTGTGATAAGAGAAGAATTGGTACTAATCAATGATCTATTAGATTAAGAAATAGAATATATCTGGAAATATTAGAATGTTACTGTCGGAATATTATGTGTATTGTAGAAGGGATACCCGAAGTGCTAATAATATGTTTATTCAAGATTAAATTGGATTATGGTAATTGTAAATTAGTAAAGCTTAAAAACAGGATTTGGATTTACATAGATGTAATGTAGAAATGGATTAACTTAAATATGTTATACTATTTGAGGGAAATAGAGAGGGAACATTTAATGAATTAACTTGAGTTTTATATATATATGATTTTGTCTTTGGATGATTGATTACCCCATCACCACGGTGTTTCTTGAGCACTCTGATGTAAAAATTAAAAAACTAATAAAACTTGTTTATAAAAAAAAGAGCAGAATAAAATGTATCTTCTGGAAAGTATATAAATATCACTTATGCTAGAATCTGTGGGTACTTAGTTATTTATGGATGAGATCCATGGGAAATAATAGTACAATACTTTTTTTTAACATATACTTGAGTCAGTTGGTATAACTCAGTCCAATACATATTTTCTTAGAAGCCATGGTCTTATTCTGAATTTAGCAGTTGTGTTCATACAAAACATTAATCAGGTGCAGCAATATTTCATTTGCTTTTGGGAGGGTAACATCTACATCTTGTAATGGAAAGATAAATGAAATGGTAATATCACATACACAGTTGGGAAGATTATTAGGAGACCATTGATCTCACAGAGTAAATTATTAAGATAAAATATGTCATGCAATTATTATTTCCAAGTAATTCAAACCAGAATTTGTTTAAAACTAACTTTTTCATTAGTATGGCCCCAAGTCATTACATTATATGCTTAGCTTTTTTTTTTTTTTTGCAAACCCAATCCCCTCCATGATTGTTTTGCCATAATTTGACACACACACACCCTCCCCGGTGATGTCTTTGGGCAGTTGTCATGTCCCTTGTGGCTTTATCATACTGAAAAAAATGAAAAAGGCCAGCACCCTTGATTTAAGGAAAATACCGACAGGCAACATTCTAGCCACATTACTTGGATGGAGGAGGCAGCAGCCACCAAATTGCTAATAATTTACTATGCTAATAATTTACTATAGCTTCATGGATGATGTGAATACAGTCAGCCAAACAGTGTATGCAGAACATTCCAGACTTTGGGCCCTCCCTCAAAATTATGGAGGAAATGAAAAAATACCCAAGAGCATCATTCATGCTGATACTTTGCATGAGCTGCCCTGCCACAAGTCCATACTTACTTCTGGAAGTGCAAGTAATCCTCCCACTGCCTTCTCCAAGGCAAGTGCAATCCACCATCATCCAGCCCTGATATGGCTTTTCCCAAACTTCTCCAACAACGTATGACGTCCCAGCTGTATTATCATAGCACCGCTCAGCTAAGGGAAATTAATTTTCAAAGGTGAAAAAGAAAAAATAACCTCACTGCACTGTTTTCTTTACAATTTCATTAAGGAAAAAACTAAATTTCTTAATTAGGGAGGAAAGAAAATGCTTCCATATTTTTTGCATTTGGATTAAAAAAACAGCATGCAGAAATCTGGCAATTCAATGAAATAGAGGTTTCTAAGTGTTTACAACACTGGGGTTGTAGACAGCTTGTTTTATTTTATGCTCCTTTTGAAGGCATGGTTATATTTGAGTATATAACAATATACAGGATTATATTTCAAAATGATCTGGAGAATTTTCTCTTATGTCAATAAAGCACATCAAACTTTGGAGCATGAATCTCTTAACCAAGTATGCCCTTCCCTATTAAAACTTCTATAGACAGCAGGGAACAGATTAACCTTGGCATCTTCTCCATGGCATACTTGTATTCTAGGTGAATTTGTTTATTGTCTAGCAGGATATTCAGAAGCACTACCTACAGGTCAAAAGTCCAGGTAAAGTTTAATCATGTATGCATGTTTTCAGTTTTTATATATTTCAACTAAGACAAAAATAAAAAAATGTTATCACAAAGAATAAAAAATGTGCTTACAGTAACTATCACAAACAGGTCTATTTGCAATTGAAATACCTTTTGACCTCTGAAATGCATAAAAAACTAAATCATACCAACTGGCTTGCAAGTCCATTCACCCTTCCCGTTGCCAAGACACACACATTCTAACATGTAGCCTCCTGTCTCGTGAGGCCTGCGCCAGGTATCACCAATCTTGTAGGACTGCCCACCTTCATGACATCGATCTGAAAAACAAAGCATAGGAAGCTGTTTTTCCCAAGTTACATCATTAATGTATCTACTATGTCCAATAGTTCAGCAACTCTCTAAGATTGCCCCAGTTATATTATAATAAAGCCTTAGATCCCTTCATCCATTTCAGCATTGGTCAATGCTTCATAATGCAGCCAGCTATGAAAAGCAGCTTTTCCAATATGAAAGTCCCTACAGTCTAATAACTGTAACATGCCACTTTCCTGTTATATCAGAAATATCCCTAATTCATTAGGGATTAGTTGACCTAGTTGTTAAAAACATTTGGATTATAAA